ATGAATACAATTAGAAAGAAATAAAGAAAGAAATAAATAAATAAAGAAAGTATGTCAGAGAAAAGAAATAATGAAATGTGCAGATTGTTAGAAACAGTTAAATGAACTGACAGTCAGATAGATAGATATTAACAGAGTGTGATAGATTAGATAGCTAGATAGGTAGCTAGCTAGATTGATAAATATGAACAGACTGATAGATAGATAGATAGATAGATAGATAGATAGATAGATAGATAGATATGAACAGACTGGGACAGACAGCCAGACGGATAGATAGATAGATAGATACGAAGAAACTGAGAGATAGATGGATATATAGTTAGATAGACATAGATAGACAGTAGGATAGATAAGTGCAACTTTTGTTGGATAAATAGTAAGCTAGATATTGACATATAGATAGATAGATACGAACAGAGTTTAGATAGATAGATAGATAGATAGATAGATAGATAGATAGATAGATAGATAGATCCAAACAATGAAAATATCTGAAAATGATAGATTTCTGCGCAGCAATTAGCCATCTTTCGTTATCATTATAATTTCCTCCCATTGTCAGATGAAAACTTCGTAGCATTGTTAAGATATTCTTTGTTAAAATTCCAAATATTGAATGCCATTTAATTCCATAATTAGCGGTCAGGGTAATCTTGAAAATGAAGAGTGGAGAAGCAGGCCCGATGCCAATATTCGACAAACGCAGTTCACTTAAGATACACAGCTGGCAATATGTACACAACTTTCTATCTCAAAAAACAGTTTTCCCTCAGATTTTCCCTCAAATATAAATACAGCCACACACACATATTTATAAATCTTTGCATCTCGAGGTGACCAAGCATGACTCGCTAGAACAATAACGACTGAATAGTGAGTTCGATCCTCACTAGGTGTCCCATATTTTCACTCTTGCACCACATCTATGGTACGCTTCGAAAATCAGCATATATTTATAAGTTTACTATTCGTCCACGAATATTGTTGGTTTTAAGCTTCTATTTATTTAGATGTTCTTGATAAAATACAAAGAAAGCTGCAATGTTATTTGTCCTGACGTGGCATCTCGGTTTAAGTCACTTTCCCACTCTCTTAACGTAGCTTCCCTGTTCCTTTTCTGCAAATACTTCCCTGTTAATTGTTCTGGTGAGATTTCTTCTATGGTACCTAGACTTTATGGAATCAAGGTCTCATCAATTTACAGTTCAGCTTTTAGCATCCCGTTGCCAATTTCTTATCAATTTTGTGCAGATCTGTGCAAAAAGCGGATCAATGGGCTTACCCAGCTTCCTACATATTTTCAGAAAATCTGAACTTCTGATTGGTCAAAAATAATTCCGCCAAAATCTGTCACTGTCTTTTTGAGCCTACCGCGTGATTAAATTGATTATAAATATCAGACAGAAATTTGTTCTTTCTCTCTTCCTTGATTTCATTCGCCTACAAAAATGTAGCCTTAAAGGAAACTGCGTTACGATTCCCAGTTAGGGCGGACGCTATGAAACATATTCACACAGGCACACATACACGTACGTACGAAATTTTCCAAACTACATAACTCAGCTTTATAATTCTTTCAACTCTCTAATAGTGAACATCTTGTGCGACAAGTTCATTCAACTTTTGTGAGCTCGGATAAAAATGTTTCGTTAGTAGAAAACTTTAATTCAGTCAAAGGGACATAACACCAACAAAAATAGTAACCCCAATCCTCGTACATCATTATAAAAACATAAATATTGTTGTTGTTACAAAAGCGTTTTGAGGTCATATCCATTAACACGCAAACAAACAAATTGTAACCCCGACGTTGCAAAAGGAATAAAAATAAAAAAAATGCCCTCTACAAGCTGACTAGATACAACCTAACCTTTTCCTCTCTCGCTTGTGGAACTGTCTTGTGGCTTCTTGCTTTCTATTCCTCTCGGTGTCTATGCCTATATCTATTTGCCTGTCTGTCTGTCTGTCTGTCCCTCTCTCTCTCTCTCTATATATATATATATATATATATATATATATATAGTGAGAATGGAGGAGATAGATATATTCAGTATATTTTAGTAGTAAAATTTTTTAAAGCAAGAAAACAGACCTTTCATATATATATATATATATATATATATATATATATATATAAGTGCGCAGGTATGCAGAAAATAGAAAAGAACACGTTGGGTGCATAATCCGGAGTTCCTTAGTATTTTTGTTTTTATTTTTAAGAAGACAGTGTTCCATACAGAAGTAGAGCCTATATTATAATATTTTTTGTTTAAAAATATGATTCCTTCGCTACATAAGAGTTCTCATGTTTCAAAAACGAGAGCCGAAACCATGCAAATAATTATTAAAATTAAGTTGAATTGAGGTGTTTAGTCCCGTTTCATCTTCAAGCGAAATTTTAGGAATAAGCTATTTCTTGGTTTACGTGTGATTTTTTTAGGCATGATCCGTTATAACAATAATTATATTACAATGAATCATTCATAGAAAAAGTAAATTAGTAAAGTTAATGATTTAAAATGGCGAAATCCCTACGTTAACAAAATTTTAAAGATGCATTAACTTACTAATCACTCGATTAACGTTATGATACTTTTTTAAAATTATAAGCTGTATAAGGTCTTTCTTAAATACGCAAGTACTTTCGACTTAACTTTTTACCAAAAGCAAAACAATTTCTATACTTGAAGATAACTGAAAGTATAGTCGAAAGTACTTGGGTTTTCAAGAAAGACATTTTACAGGTTATAATTTATATATATACAGCTTATAACTTATATATATATATATATATATATATATATATATATATATTATATATACATGATGGGCGATCCGAAAATTATGCCTCTGATTTTTTACGAAAGCCTATACTACTGATAAAAAGAACACAATTGTGATATTTCATAGAACAATATTAATTACGAGAGATTCGTTTGACACATGGTCTCCATCAAGGGCTATAAATTCTCTAGACGTTTTTAATTTCATCGTTTCATTGCTTTTCAGGATCACATAGGATCACAGAGCAATAAAAATTGCCGCAACGTATTTTCTACAACCTAGGTGAGCCCTTAGCCACAGACTGGGCTCTGTAGACGTCCTTCTGCCTGTATATCAACGGGTGGTGTTTTTGCGCACGGAAGATTTCAAGGACGCACACCACTTTCACGTTTACTTTCATGTCAAAGATTACTTCGTCTTGGAATTACCATTAACAAGGAAATTAAAATGTATGGACTTGGCTGGAGATTTGGAACTTTTATCAACCAACCAATATTCTGACATACCAAATAGGAGTTATGATGTTCTGAACGAGACATTAGTATGAACACACACACACACACACACACACACACACACACACACACACACACACACATATATATATATATATATATAACATTAGTGGGCAATATATATATATATATATATATATATATATATATATATATATATATATATATAGTTCGATAAAATTAAAAGACTGTAATAGATAAATGGATATGGATATGAACAGACTTAGATAGATATATAAAATGAATACGCTGATATATATATATATATATATATATATATATATATATTTCAAAGAGGATAGAATCCAGATAGATCTTAATAACCAGGACAGAGAAAGAATATAATATAGAAGGCTCTGTCTTTCTCTCTCTCTCTCTCTCTTTCTATATATATATATATATATATATATATATATATTCAGAACTAGACATATGAATATTAGATTATAGTGGGGAAGGCTCTCTGCAGAATATATATATATATATATATATATATATATATATATATATATATATATATATATATATATATGTATTACCAAGAGGACAGAATCCAGGTAAAGCTCAATCACCAGGACAGAAAATAATATAATATAGAAGGCTCAAACAGTAATATTCTATGGAATATTAATGTTTCAGCCCTATATATATATATATATATATATATATATATATATATATATATATATATATATGTGTGTGTGTGTGTGTGTGTATTTAGACAGCAAATTCCCTTTTAGGAATGTCTGATTGAATAAATTTCAAACATTATGTCTGCCTATTTTCATCAGGATTATTTCATATCCCCGAATATTTTTCCGTATATTATAAATACATATGGCAAGAAGTGCACTGAAACAGTGAGAAGGGCTTTTATTTCTCAAGTATTTTTCCTCTTCCTCATAAGGGTAAGGCGAAATCTATATGTAGCTATACATTACTGAATTCAGTAACAGGTAGCTACACATAATTTCTATCTTACTCGAAGATAAATCGACTCGAAATTTAAATCAGTTTAACTTAAAAATATTTTTAATATGCCAAAAATATTTTGTAAACATTTAAAATAGTGTTTGTTTAAAGAAAGCTGAAATATATGTAATTATTGTAGAAATAACTGGATGAAACAGCAAAGCGGGATCTCTTTGTGACTGTCTTTAACTTAATATATATATATATATATATATATATATATATATATATATGTGTGTGTGTGTGTGTGTGTTTTATAGGGTGTGCAAAAGTTTGAAAGCCAAAAACGTGCGCACAAAACGAATCCCTGATAAACATCGAAATATTAAATATATAAATCCCTCAAATGTTCCAACTGTTTGTTCCCGTCATTCACACACGCCTCTTTTGTCTACAAAACATTATTATTATTCATTAAAAATGGAAATTATAATAAATATATTATAATAAAAAATAAAATATTAAGAAATGATTTTAATGAATTAAATGAATTCTAGAACCACTATTTTAATACTTACTGTATACCTACTTTCGCTCCCCGCTTGCACAGAAGAATCTACTATCTATATTTCTCATGTTGTCTGTCTGTGTGTCTGTCGTGGGCGTTGTTACCTCGCCCAGGCCGCATTTCTCACCCGATTTCGATGCGGTTTTCAACACAAGTTTGCAAATGGCTGCCGTAAGGACATGACGGAGCCGATTTTGAGTTCGGAATCAGGTTCCGAA